AATAAAAAATTTAGTACAGTAGTACCATTAAGTAGGGTTAAGTTTCATCAACAGCAAGGAAAAAGAAGTCCCAGATAAGTGCTATGTTTCTTGTTTTTCATGTGTATTCTTTATTTTATTATTATAAATGTAACTAAAATATAAAAAATTAGAACCTTTTCAGATTAGATTAGGTAAAATAAATAATAATAATAAAAAAAAGTTTCCCAAGGTACATTCAGGAGCAACTCCAGAGTAGCCCATGTCTTACGTAATTTGATAGGGTAACGTAAGCTACATGTTCGCCAAGTGATTTTCAACTTGTGGTGGAAGTATTAGTTATACATGGTTCAAAGAGTAATAAAACAATAATATTAAAGTAGAAACGTATATAATGTTACAAGTTTAAAAGCTATTGAGGATAAACACATCTAGTTTCATGTTACAATTTGAAGTCATTCTAGAAAGAAAAAAAGGGCAATTTAAGATGTATTTAATTTTTTTTATGATGGTTATGTGGTTGGGCAACCTCATATAGAGTTAGGGTAGAAACAATAACATAAAATATAAAGTTTTATTGAAAAGAAACATTTCAAATATATTTAGGAGTGTTTAGAGATTATGCAAATAAAATTTCAGAATTTTCAGATAAAGAAAAGTATTTTTAATCTTAATGTGAAAATTACTTTGCAATTGGAGCAGTAGACACTGACTCCATCTATTTACAGAGAAAGTCTTAGTAAAAATACTTCATTAAGAATTTTGATTTTTTTCTTTGAATGACTTAATAATTACTGAAAGCTTTCCAAATTTCGTGAAGATACACAAGTTATAGTATAGAAACTAAAAGTCAATTTGAGGCCAGTGTTTAGGTCTAATCTACTTAGCCTGTAACGAGAGAGTTAATGAAGAAGGTTAAAAAACACAAACAGTTTTTGTGTGTATAATGATTACAATACATTTTGTCCTTAAAAAGGATGAATATTGAACACCATTTTCTATTTCTGTCATTAAAAAATACTTTCCAATTGTGTCCTTTAATAGATGTCTAAGAGTGATCTGCTAGCCTTGGACTTTGAGGGAGTTCTGAAATACTTTCGTGTGTCTCTCCCTAAGAAATATCGTACTGAAGAAATGGCACGTCAGTTATTACGCACAGCAGTTGGGGTTAAGGTATAACCCTTACATTTCTGATTTGTTTGAGTTTTCTATTATAAACAAGTAAAAATAACGAGTTTTTGTTAGATAGAAACAATTAATCTTAATTTTTGTGGTCATAAAATCTTAGTTGTTCATGTCAAAGAGAAAAAAGTTTTAATCAGTAATAGTTTACCAACAGAAGAACTTCAATTTGTACAGAAGTTCAGAAGAAAGTTTTAATCAATTTAATCAGTAATAGTTTACCAACATAAGAACTTCAATTTGTACAGAAGTACACATAAGAAAAGTTCACATTATGTGATGCAGAGTAAAGTTACATAATTTACTAATAAAACTTAAAATCAGTTTAATAAAGGTAATAAGATGGAAAATTAAGTTTATGTTTGTACTCTCTCTCTCCCTCACATTTTCAAAGGTTCATTTTGGCATTTATTTGATGTATTCATTTTGGATAAGTTTTATATCCCTTTCAAAATTTTTATTTGTTTTAATAACTGGTTATTTGTTGTTATTTTTATTTGTTGGAAGTAATTGTTTTACTTTAAAAGTCTATTTTTTTATACAAATATTTTATCAGTGTTAATTTCTTCTACAAATGATGTTCTTTACCATCATCTATTCAGTAAATTATTTCAAATCCAGAATTTCTGTTTAGTCTAGATTACAATAAATGAAATATGATATTGTTTCCATGTATCAGCAGATTGAATTTGATGTTTACTGCAACATAGAGAAATGTTTTATACTTTATCTGTGTCGTTACTCAGATAAAGTTTACTCAACTTTAAATAGTTTTATTGAATAAGGCTGAAAGGAACAATGAACTAAACATTATACTGAATATGAGTGTAATATATGTACTGATTATATTTTTATTCTATATATGACCTTGCAAACTAATTTTTTTTAATTCTGTGGTAAAAACTCAAGGCAAGAAAAATAAAGAAATATGAGAAAGAATATGCAGCTGTGAAAGAAGAGAAGCAACAGGAAAACCCTGTGGAAAGGTTGAAGGTTGGTTTATATTGCTAAATATTTATATTTTAATCTTTAACTTTAAATTTATTCTACTGTTGCAGAGCATTAGATTCTGTACTGAGAAGATTTTGCTGTGAATAAAGCTTTTAATATTTATAGGTGTCATTTCACTTCATTTTTAATCTTGTATGAAAATCAAGATTGTCTACCAGTCAGTTGTGATATATCTCTAAACGTACCAATAAGTTAATGTATGGTATATATATATAACTCTCTCACCATGGACACCTTTTTCCGCATGAGGTTTTTAATGAGTTACATTCAAAATTTAATTAAACATGACATTAATTATAGCTAGCTTTATGACAGGGGCTTTTCTACATTTGTAAAAACTGCCACATGTCTGAAACCTAAAGCTTAGTAGGGTTATCTAGACATGCACAGAGCTAGATTTGAATCTAAGTGGTTGCAAATATAACTATCAAATTGAGGTTATATATGAAAGTATTATGATTGATTGTAGATTCAGGCCTAAATCAAATTCTTGGATTGTATAAATCTTTAGACCTATACACTACAGGAAGCCATGCTTCCTTCCTCTGTATCAGTGATACTAAATATAAAGTGTTATGTAGCTTAGATTTCCAATCGTCAAGTCTCAATCATTATTTCTAAGACATTTATTTAGGTCTTTGTTTGGCATTAGAACACTTGCATTGTTCCTTATGTCAGTGTAGGTCTAGGCCTAGATATAATAAAAGGCAAATAATGATAATACATATATATATATAATAATTCAAACAAAGTTACAATAATAGGAGATAAATAATCAGTGTTAGAGGTAAAGTAAATATGCTATTAAACCTTATCCTAAAAATATTATCTTTTAAATGATTTTAATAAAAATTGACAATAAGTACTGTTTTATTACTTGATCTAATTCACACCGTAACAGATTTTGTTCATGAAGGTTGATGATATAAATATACTGACTAGACCACTGTTGTGTCTGTCATATCCCAGTTGGCCTGGTATTGAACCAAGGATTTCTTTAGCATTGGATATTGCAGATGTAATGTGGTTGATATATTATAAAATATTATCCTTTACTTTCACCTGTAAGCTTTTAGAATTAATAATAGGTTGGAAAGTGACGTTCATAAAATGCTGATTATTGTACTAATAAGCAAGATATAAACACTATTTCAATCTATGTATGCCCCTACATAGGTTTAACAACTAGCATTAGCCAATGCAGACTATTTAATATGGTATTAGCCTATGAATTGTATTATTTTTCTGTATGTGGTCAGGGATTCCAAGCTGGTCCAACAGTGGTTTGTCTGGCAACTTTGTAAAAATCAGCCAAATAATCTAAAAGGTAATGGACAGTATAAGCCAAAAAAAAAACCCTACATTTTCAGTGATTTTAGAACAAGAAATCTAAATCTGTGGTATGAAAATATAAAATATTGATTTAGATTCAGAATAGACTCCTTTTTATATTGACAACATTGTTTTTGTTAATATGAGATGACTGCTGCACTTTTTATACCAACTGGGCACAACCCCTAAAGTTTCCGTGTGCCTGACATGGTTTTTAGAAGCATTTGGCAGTAGATACGTACATGTTACTTTCATGTCTTACACAATACTGTTTTTCACTATGTAGATATCTTTGGTTTAGGAAAATCAAGATTTAAAGATCTATTTTCAGTAACTTCTAGCTTTCTAATATAATGTTTTGGATTGTAGTATAATCCTGTAATCTGAAATAAATAATTCCTTACTTTTGTCCTACTTTCTCTAGCGAGAGAACAAACGTTTGCTTGAGAGCAACATGCGGTTAGAACAAGAGAATGATGACTTAGCTCATGAACTGGTAACAAGTAAGATACAGTTGAGGAAAGAACTTGATACTGTAAGTACATGAGTCTATTAAATGTCATCATACTTGTGATTTAGTTTAAATAGAAATGTATTGTTATTTGTTACTGCTACCACAAATAAACTTGAAGTTTTCTTTTCATTATGTAAATAAAATACCTTATATTGTCAGACGTATAATCAGTTGAAAATATATATAATACAAAGTGAAGTTTTTTGTCCACTGGTGAAATATGTTTCTTGCCTAATGCAGTCATTTTGTCATAAATGTATTTCATATCAAAAACTTTAGCAGAATTTATATATATCATACTAACTCAATACATTCCTGAAGTGATTTTAACAAGAATTAAAACACAAATGTATAAATATTACTACCACCTTTTTAGGCCAGACTTTTGCTATGAGATATTTAACGAGCAGATAAAGAGATATGAACTTTCTCTCTGTCTCTCATTTTAAAAATAAATTACAAATAAACGAGTTAAAAAAATATTTAGATTATTTAATTATCAGAAAATACAAAAAAAAAATAACTGAAACTATTAGATCCAAATTTGTAATATTTATAAAATTTTTGCTAAAGAGTTAACTGGAAACTTCATGGACTATCTCTTTCTCATATGCCAAAAATCAAAAGATATGTAGTATAAATAGTCTTAGAATGATAACTAATTCACTAATGTACAGCCATGGCATCACTCTAGAATTATCTAATTCTGCTTCATAAAGTTGAATGAAACCTGTTAATTAATGTTATGTTTAAAAGCTGAGTGGAAGAATCTAATGACAACTCAACCCTTCAGTGCCTCGTTTAGTTCTTGGCTGATAAGATTAAAGAAATCTTGAAAAACCATGGAATTTACGGCCAATACTAAGTAATACTATCATGGTTTCACGTAGACTTGGGATATCGTTTATAGTTTTTTGATCATGTAAAGTTAAGTAAAAGATTTAAATCGTATCTCATTCCAAAAATTCTAGGGTGATATAAAAGTTTTAGCCATAACTGTAGTACTGATACCTTACTATTACCTTTCACTTGTAATTATAGGTCCTAAGTTTATAGCTTAAATTTTCATAATATATCTTATGAAAACCATGAATATTATTAAGTTATCTTCCATTTTGTTTCTGTATTTTCCTACCATCTTCAAGCTGTTTTTGCAATTGAATTAATAAAAGAAAGCTTGAAGAAACAGTTTTCCATAAGTTTATTTTATGCTTGTTTACTTTGATTTGGTTCAATATATATTTAAAATCTCCTATTTTTCTCCATCCAGCCTCTAACCTGCTATGTTATTACAAGTTTTTTCTTCTGTGGGCTAAATCATGAAAGAAATATTATTCAGGATGAAACTCTAAATATGTTATTGTTTTATTTATACTTGGATATTATACAGATATAACTTTTTTTTATATGTTTCAATTGTTTTTACCAATAAATGTTATTAATTCCAAAGGAGCTGATTTATTCGTAAAAGGTCTGTCTTACATCTCAGAGTAGTAACCTGCAATTTCATAGATTAGATATTAACTTTGTGTGTGTGTGAACTTAGTTAACACAACTTCTGATCAAAATCAAGCTATGCAGATCAATAAAATATAACTTTACAAAGCTAATTCTTGGTGTCCAAATGGCTAGAAGTTCATGATGCCATAAATTAATACACTACAAAACTAAAATTTATACTGAATGTATTGAATCCTTCAGTTAAGTGCTGTGCTGTCAACATTATTTTTAGCTGTAATATCAATAATGTTATGTGATGTTTGGTCAGTTTAGAATAGTCCAAGATTCATATATTAAGCTAAAAGTAACATTGCAAAATGATTTTTTTATCAGCTTAAGTATTATGACTGTAATAAACATAAAATGAGATCCAACAACAACTTGAGAAAAATGAGTAGCATGTTACTTACAAATTGCACAAAAACACCATCAGTTGTTTGCTACTGTGATGATTTGGCACTACAGCAGTGTGATGTACTTAAGTTATCAAGTATTTTTTTGTAATATGAATCCAAAAGCAAAAGTTGATAAAAATTATAAAAAGAAGACTAAACATATAAAGATCAGCAACATGAAGAATTATACCAACATTTTGTACTTGAAGACTGAAGACAAAGCTGAGACTTTGGGCAAGGAACTTCTGTCGACCAAGACCTCGTTAGTTGAAGCTGAAGATGAGAAGAAGAGGCTAGAGTCAGAAGTAGGCCAGGTTAGATATAATTAAAATATTATACAGAGGTTGAGTAGGTTGTATTAAAATGATCTTGGCACCTCACCACATCATTACTGTCCATAGTGCTACAGCATAGTTTCTAATGATTAAGGCTTCATTATATGGCTGACATGTCCAAAGCACACCCTTTTTCCCTGTTGCTTTCCATAAACTATTTAGTGTAGGAATATGATGGTTGGTCCTTAGTGCCCTTGTCAATAGGTTGATCTTAAAGTGTGTCTTTGTGTGGAACAGTAGGAATACTTGTTTCTTTCTCCAGCTGCTTAAGGTATGTGGTGGTTGAACAGATATGTCATGGAAGCAACTTGTGTTCATGTGGCTTGTGCCACTTTCCCAGATGTAGATCTTTTTTGATTAAGTTCCATACTGTTACTTGAAATACATGGATTGATTTTACCACTGACCTTTATATTTGTCTATTTCTACCTTACCATGGATGGGATACAACTTGTTGCATGCCTCTTTCTGGATTGTCCTGGTGTTCCAAGCTGATCCACATTTTTTTTGTTTTTCAACGTCATTAAGTACAAGGAATATTACTATCTCAGAAATTCTAAATCCCTGATCAGAAAACCTTCATGATTTAAGTATATGAATATTTTGCAATTGGAAACAACTGTTCTGTACCCTTCCCAAAAGTGATCAAGTTTTTGAAAGCCAAACAATCTAAAAATGTAGTTCTGATGCGTACTATTGCACTGTGATGTTATAGGCTGTCGTTATCAGGTGATATTGAAAAATCATTTTAATATAATGAACTTGCACTATTGCACTGTGATGTTATAGGCTGTCATTATCAGGTGATATTGAAAATCATTTAATATCATGAACTTGCACTATGATATAGGCTGTTGTTATCAGGTGATATTGAAAATCATTTAATATCATGAACTTACACTATTGCACTATGATGTTATAGG